GAAAGATGGCAAGGACGGTCTCTGGTACGAAGCCTCCACTCTTTCGATGAATTTTGATGGTACTGTACGAGGGGTTCAACGAATTCTCACTATAGGTTATGAAGGGAAAGCGAAATATTCTGAATAAAGTTCATTTTTCAGTGTAGTTCCCCAAACCTCAATACACTTGTTTGCTCAGGAAACTAACTTTTCAATACCCTCTGAAAATATTTTTTCCTCCTTTTCCCCAAAATGTGCGTTAATTGCCGCCTTCAGCTCTTCATCGTCAGAAAAACGCTTTCCGCGAAGACCTTTTTTCAGGTTAGGGAACAGTAAGTAATCGCTAATCATTTTGTCAAATCTTGTTTTCATTTTCTCAACTTCTTTTCATTTTTTGTCGTTTGGTCATTTTCTCTGCATTGCGCATCTGTCATTCTGGTCTCCTTCCACCAAGTATGTTTAGAACCAGTCGGATCGGCCGGCTTCGCCGGGCGAATGGTCGAAAAAAAATTGTTTTGAGAATTACCGCACTTTACCGTTTCACTTCTTGTATATACCCCCCCCCCCTAGAAGACAGTCAAAATTTTCTATGCGGCACTCCCCTTAGTGATGAGGAATCGCAGAATAAACTATTGCCGACGGTACCAACCATTTGGTATACTCCCTACGGTTATCCCTCACTAACTTCATCTGCCAAACCATTGCTCAGTTTCACTTTACTCCCCATTTCGTGGGGTTTTTCGGGTGCGTTTTGAGGGTTTTTGTCCGGCACCGTTCACTTCGGCGAACGCCCCGCCCATCAGGGGTGTGCTTCATCGATTTCGTCCGCCAACTGATTGCCTATCGTTTGCCACTTTTTCCGCTCTCGGGGCTCTTTTGGAACCGAACTGCGAATTTTTGAAAGTTTCGTAGCAAGCACCGCCCACCTATAGAACGCCCCGCCCAGAATGGTTTGTCTCACTCATTTCGTCCGCCAACTGATTGCCTATCGTTTGCCACTTTTTCCACTCTCGGGGCTCTTTTGGAACCGAACTACGAATTTTTGAAAAATGTAGCTCACAACTGTGCGCACGCCCCGCCCACAGTGGGCGGGGCTTAGCTTAGTTCATGTGTGTTCCGTACATCTTGGCCCATGCCCTACCCAACCCACCCTTGACCCGCCCCTCCAACTGGCTCTTCAGGTGATTCCGAATTTCCGGACAGACAGACAGACTTACAAACAGACTTACAGACAAACAGACAACAGACGTTGCCGTTTATATAGTAGGATAGCATTGATGATAACTAAATGAAATTCTAACACCCTCGGAGTGTCGTTACCTATTGAAATTATTTTCATTCCTTCGTCACCGCTTAATTACCTCGATATCGGGACTCCGAACGGCCTTCCTATAGATAGGGTGGAGAACGGTGAAGCTTAAAGACACATGGTACGCTCAAACACATTGAGGGTGTATGAGACTATCAGCCCCAGCTGTCGATGTGTCGTGGTCCCCCCGCCCAAAACTGCACGGGGTCAGAGTACGGGGCCGTGGGAAGCTACGCCGCCCATTTGCAAACTCACGTTTTTACTAACACCGTCCGCGCGGTCGCGTGCAGCTCTCTTGGCTTTTTGCCAAGTCCTGTAATTGCGCTTTGGAATACAAGTACAACGCAATTTCTTTATGCGGATAACATTTTAGGTGCTGCAAAATAATGACCGAACATGATGGCGAGGGCTAGAACTCAAGAGCAACGTGAGCCGGATTCGAGCCGGATCGCAGAAATGCCCACGCGATTTTAATTCATTGCGTTTCCATAGTTTTTTTTCAATTTTGTTTTATTTACATCTACATTCGTTGTTCTTCATTTCTAGCCTTTTTCGTCTTCATCACCTTCTATTGACTTGACTTTCTATTGACTTTGAAGCCATGAGCCAATACTCAGAATAGTAGAAAATTGCCTTTTGCTTGTATCTGTCATGTTGTCCGTTTTTATTGTCATGTTCTGTGGGAATGCGCGGCCTCTGAGGGATATTGCAGAAGCACCACAGTTGCTCTTGAGTTCTAGCCCTTGTCATCATCTTCGGTTCTTATTTTGCAGCACCTAAAATGTTATCCGCATAAAGAAATTGCGTTGTACTTGTATTCCAAAGCGCAATTACAGGACTTGGCAAAAAGCCAAGAGAGCTGCACGCGACCGTACGGCCGCGACGATGGTGTTCAGCATAAAGCGCAAGTGGCAGGATGGCTAGCAGGGAATTAACGACTTTCACGGACCCCGGAGAAGTTCGGGCGCTGGGAACCACGACGCGACGGCGGTTGAGAGTCAGTGTTTGAAGCTACCATGTGTCTTTAAAGTCGATAGCCAGGTCACCAGCGGTTTCAGGAGGGTAAGAATGAACCCAACAAAGGCGTTCCTACTACTGGTATATGTCGCAAACTTTGTGGCGAGCAGTTGTATTCAGCCCTGTCCTAGTAATTAGCGCACTGGTGAGTGCTGAGCAGAACTTTTTCTCTCCTCGAGAGTATGAAAACCAATCCTTGTTGAGTGCTCTGAAAAATGGGCTTTTCGCCCTGGGCGCCTGAAAACCCCTCCTCGTATTCCTGCGAGAGCGCTTTCCCTCTAACGCGAAGTTGCTCTGGAAGAAAGGCACGTCTGCCTGGTGCTAAAGTGTAGTGTGGAGCTTAAGTGTCAAAGCAGTGGAGTAGAATGCTCACTCAAGCTGAGTTACGGAAACAGGATGTTATCGCGGCGGGGACGGAGCAGGAAGCGTTTGAGGACGTTTGAGGATGGTGGGAATGCCTCGCAGCTGGAAAGGACCCCGCTTCCGAACCATCATCAAAGCTCACTAGTATTCTCGATAGGTTTCGCAAGTGAAATTTATTTGTTATTCTGTATTTTGTCATTTCGCTGTTGACCGTCTGCTAGTGTTTCCTGTCGTTGTGCACGTCACAGTTCGTGACGCACCGTTGTTTACCTTTCTTGTAACAATTCTGATCAAAGTTGTTATTGCACTTTTTGTTTTCATCGTTGGAAATGTCATAGAGAATACAGTGGATAACAATCGCATACAAATCCAGCAGATAACAATAAAAGCTATTCCAAATGGAATGAAAATGTCGAGATTGTAGTATTGCAGGAAGGGAACCCGTCTACCTTCAACGAGTAATTCTTCACACCTCGCATCTTGCCTAGGCCAGCAAATTTCATGTGTATTTTATAAGGTTGTCAGATTGCGTTGAAGCAGGCTTTGTTGCGTATCAGTGCTAGATTCCTCACAGCTAGCTTGCTCTGTATCTGAAAACGAAACATGTTTAAAGGAGCTGTTTCGTCGAGTATTTTTCCGGTCGCGACACATATTGCGCGAAATTTGTAGCTGGCTATGCTTAACTGCATGTGCGATAGCACTGCCAAAAGATTCGATGCTCTGGAGCTGTTGGCACACACTTTCTGCAGGGATGTTGGTCAGGAAACTTCCACCTAAGGGACGATAACTTAGGTACTTAGTCTCCCTTTCCTCGGTATCTTCTTTGAAAAGTCTCAAAAGAACAAGGTGCGGTATGGTTCTCCTTCGTCGCGGCAAGTGCACGAACAGAAAATGCTCTTCTTGAGGCTTTTTGATTAAATGAGTGCGAGCTCCGTTGTCGAAAACCCGAAACGCAGACAAACACCTAGTTCAAGGCGGCCTGACGACCCATGGAAAGGTGCCCAGCTAATGCAGCCCATAGGATAACTTCCTCAAAGGGAGGGGACCTCGACGTTTGAGATGAGTCCACTTATTAATCGAAAGGCGTAAAAGCGGAGACAGGTGGACAGAGCACATCGTTGTTGGGATTCCCCAAAAGGGGAGGGTCGTATTTGGTGGCTGGAAGAGGTGATCGTATTTGTGCTGAGGAAAAATTTCCTTTTTGATACGTAGGTTTCCACGTGTAAAATGGTGACTCCTACCCCACTCCCGGCACTCAACAGCAATTTTTGGGTGAAAAGAGGAAAATTTCCGGCAAAGCCTGAAGTGATAAGAAGTTGGGGAAAATGTTAGAAATGGTAGAGAAGGAAGTCAGCTCGATGGGGAGGGAACCAAGGGGGAGGGGACGTACCAACTCCCTAGAAAGAAGGGGGGGGGTCGTACGGACTCGACCAAAATCACCAACTAATGATGTGCCCTGCATGTGGACTTGCGTGCCAATCACTATTCTAGAAATAATAAGGTGTCAGACCGGTGGCTGGCTTTCTAGCAGTAGTTTGGAACAAAGTGCTAAGTATCGTATTACTACATAGCCAGATTTTCTCTCTGGATGTGGGGGATGGGTTGTCCCTTAGCCCGAGAAAACAGGAGTCGCCACGATTTTCTCAAAATGCCCTCAGTTTACTCAGATGACGCAGATGGTTCTTGAAGAATGAACGTTGGCTTCACAGTTGACAGTTAGCTTTTCGTTGGTGAAGGTGGTGTGTCAATAGCGTGCCGACCTAAACCGTTCAGGGGCTATCTTGCAATGCAGTCGTCGTGCTCGAAGAGAAAACTTGACTACGTAACCAAACAATATGTAGTCACATCTGTTGATAAGCTGCTGCAGAGAAATCAGGCCACAGACTCGTAGTTTATTGTTTGGTGGCGGTTTTGCGCGCACGTACACTCCATTTCCCGACGAAGAAGAGGGCGTGACCGTGTATTTCATTTCATCGTAGCTCCGCTGCGATTTTGGAGGGATATGCCTTTTCAGTCAATGGTAACATGACTTTATCTAGCACATACAGAATAACAGCTGTTTCAAATGAAAATTTTCCACGAAAAATGCATATAATTTCTTCATATGGAGTACGTAGCTATGCCGTTCCCTTCTCTGAGATTTGCAGTGCATTTGTGGCGCACCATGTTCGCGAAACCAGGGTACAGCATCTCTTGTGTATGAAACACGTGGGGGGGGGTTGCACTAGGCCGCCGGGGAAGGAAGGGGGGGGGTCGTGTTTGCCTTTAAGAGGAATTTACCGTGTTAGGGAAAAATTTTCTGGTTGTTGACTTTTCGCGTTTTTTCCCGTTTCACGTTGGCTATTCCCTCCCCCCCCCCCACCCCTAATTGACAGCAAAATTTTTGGGAAAAGTAAGGAAAATTCTTGGGGTACAGCAAAAATTTCCGGAAAAAGTGCTCGGAATTTCCGGAAAGTAAGAAGCTGAGGAAATCTATTCACCCCATCCCTCCCCTCTCGAAACTGGAAAATGAGGGAAATTTCGGAAACACCGGTAGGAAGCTGGGAACTTGTTGGAAAGTGGTAGGTAGGTGTTGGGGAAGGGGGGGGAGGGTCGTACCGAGACCCTCCTCGAGGGGGGGGGTCGTACTGACGCCACCATTTCACACATCACGATGCTGTACCCTGTGCGAAACTTCAAACTTGGGATGTTCCTTGAGGCGTCTGATGCGTCTAGAAGAACCTCGCTGCCGTCCTGCCATGATGCAACTAAAAACGGATTCCCCAGCTGGTTGATTGATTCGATACACTGCAGCAGTGCCAGGGTGAATCAAATGGATGCTACTGCAAATACCGTGCACGACACCAATTGCGACGCCCCTTTCCATGCCCCAGCCGCAACTCGGATGTGCTGACCCACACTCTCAAACCTAGCTCATTCGCGACAGTGCAGAATGCGTTGTCAACGCACCGTGTGTCATCAAGAATAGCATGCAGCGCCTGGTAGATCCCATTTGGGTTGTTGCGAAGAGAGAATCGATTTAGTGGTATTCCCCAACCATTCATTTCAACGGCACGACTGTTCCTGAAACTCGTGCGATTAAGTACGCCAGAAATTCAGGTAGGACTCTCTGTACTCACCTTGCTTGGTCAAAATAAAACGGTATGGTTATAAGCGGTACTGCGGCTCGTGCTGCTTCCATTATGCTATTGTAGCCGCCATGCGTTATGAACGCTTGTAAACGAGGATGTTCTGAATGAAAAATTGAGTGGTATTTTAAGTAGAACCCTTTCGCTCCACGTATAGGTTGTGCTCCATTTATCCACAAATGAACTATTGAATAAGAACTTCAGCAAATGAGAAGGCTAGTGCTCACTCAGAAGTGCTGGCTGTGGAGCCCAGCTGCATAGGAAGACATTTGGCAGACCTCCAGAAAGTTGTCGTGCGTTCTGAAACCGTTTTCGATTTATCTAGAGATTCGAAGAGCACCCACTGTACTATCTTTGCAGGCGACAAGGAATAGTGGAGTTGTTGGCTGATATCGGCGAGGCGGTGTCTGGGGCATGGAACGAGCCCGCGGCGTTTGCTAGCACTGGCTGTTCTACCTGAATCTTTCCACTAGTGGTAGGAAACGAAGCCGAACTCTTTTCACACCCGACGCCTAACTGCCGGGAATCAACTACTTTCTGGTGTGATTCGTTGCGTTGTTCAAGATAGTCTCCAGAATATAGTGGGTGATTTAAACAGCAGTCCGATTCCACTTCTGACTTCGTAGGCTGTTTCTTGTGACTTACTCACCTGATCATAGTGGTCTACAGCCAGTATGAAATGATAATCAGGAGTTTGTCTTGCCGCCTCCATCACAGCTCTCATTGCAAAAGCTGGCAACGATGAGGTATTGACGACAGTTCCTAGCGAGAAGTAAACAACGCCTTTTGAACCCTTTTCCATTTGCTCGGAGAAAGTCTGAAGTAGTTCATTCAAAACATCAGAAAGCTTGTGCAATGAAAAAGAGACCTTATCCAATCCTCCATTTCCTGAAGAGTCGTCTTGTCCTAGTCCTCCAATGTGAACTAGGTTAGGAAGGGTAGGGCGAGGCATATCAACGAACTCATCCGTGGACACGAATATCACGTCAGAGTCTGCAGCAATGTCCTCCAAATTCGGGAAGTTTGCCCTGAAATCCACGGAGTATCCTTATATTTCAGAAATATACATATTGTTTTAGCCCATAAGTAATTGATTTTTTCCCACATAAAATTTTGTATGAAAGTTGAAAATAATCGTTGGACCTTTTATACACTACTTGAATTAGAACGCCATGCTCTTCACCATAGCATGCACAGGCTTTGCCATCATTGTTTTTTTAATCAAAATCTAGGACTGGGGGTTAAGCTGACGGAAACGAGCCTTTTTGACGCCCCTTTTCGACGCGGTACTGGAGCAGCGGGAGCACTTTGGATTTTGTGAAGTGCACGGTAAAGCAACCCGGGCCTTTTGGGAGGGACCGCAGTTGGATCAAGCGGCTCAAAGTTGGGAATTCTGACCTTGAACATGCACCTAACCCCATTCACTCAATTTCCGAACTTCACGCCATTGATGGAACGTTCTAATCACCTTTGATGACCCTTTCTATGCGAGTTGAAGGTGTCCGCAGCTGCAGTGGTGTACCACTTTTTCCGCTTCAGAATATCACGGGAATGGTGCAGGAGAGTAGCTACATCCGAGTACCGTATGTAGTATGGGCAACGCTACCATCCTGTTTCACTATACTCTATCAAAACACAAGTGGCCGGAGCCGATCGACTGCGGTCTACGGCTGAGTTAGCTTCTATTGTATTGGGGCGCTGTAGCAATCGTAACGCGTCGACGCGCGTTACAGTGCGTCATCGCGAAGTCTGGACGCCGCCTGAGAAACATTAACAAAACGTTTTACTTTGCTTCTCCTCAACTCAGAAAGAAAGTTATGGGCCAACCCAGTACTTTATGATGGTAGACTTCCGAGTGAGCTCTTACCCGTATCTTCGTCGGAACACTTCGGTAGTTTCACGAGCAGTTTTGTGCGTGTAATAAATATACACGGCTGTGGCCCAGACGTTCTGTATCCTTTCAAAATAAGTTGGTCTTTGCGTGATGTCCATGCCAATCAGCGAAGGGATGTAGGACGACGGTTGAGTCATTCCCAATATCCAAGCCATATAATCGCTGATTGGGCAACTGAAAGTACCTGTAGTTCGCTGGACCAAACGAGACTATTCAGCTCTTTACCTGGACACCAAAAAATGAGATTTGATCCCTAACACATAAGCCATTCCATATCC